CCTGTGGGAGTGCATTGACCAACTGGGGGCAGCTTCTACATTTAGTATCTGCCCCCTGGTGGTCAGTGTGTGTCATAGTGACCAGTCATTCCCAGCCATTCTGCTGTTAGGATCAATTTGCATATTACCCTTTTATTATATAAAAGTGCCTGGCCAGCCTGGGTGAGGGGCTGATGGCTGTTTGCAGGCTGGCCACAGCCCCTTCAGAGTGGGGGTCCCCACTTGGGTGCCTGACCAGCCTGGGTGAGGGGCTGAGGGCCGTTATCAGGCTGGCCACACCCCCTTTAGGGTGGGGGGGTCCTGCTGGGGTGCCTGGCCAGCCTGGGTGAGGGGCTGATGGCTGTTTTCAGGCTGGCTAAGCCCCTCAGCGGGAACCCTCACCCCATGAGGGTTTGGCCAGCCTGGGTGAGTGGCTGATGGCTCTTTGCAGGCTGGCCACAGCCCCTTCAGGTTGGGGGTCCCTGCTGGGGTGCCTGGCCATCCTGGGTGAGGAGCTGAGGGCCGTTTTCCGGCTGGCTAAGCCCCTCAGTGGGGACCCTCACCCTATGAGGGTGTGGCCAGCCTGGGTGAGGGACTGTTGGCTGTTTGTAAGCTGGCCACAACCCCCAGCCACCCAAGCTCCCAGTGGAGGCTGGATGGAAGCAGGTATCTGGGATTTATTTGTCTTCTATAATTGAAACTTTGTTGCCATGAGCAGAGGCCACAGCTGGCTCAGGGCAGGCGGGAAGCTTGGCTTCCTCCATCGCCCGGGCAACCAAGCCTCCTGCTTGCTCCAGCTCCGTGGCTGCCTGCCGCAATCTTGGTTGGGTTAATTTGCATATAGTTGCTCTGAATGGCTGGTGGGCATAGCGAAGGTACGGTCTATTAGCATCTTTGTCTTTTATTAGTGTAGATTGCCAATTACTGGAGGGACAGGTAGGGAGAGAAATATATAATTTACAAAATTGCTTTAAAAATGCTTCCTTATATCTAAAAAACAAAAAGTTTAAGAATCAGCAATACTTGCAAATGACATGGAATATTGTCCTATCTGCAAAACACAATATTCCTGAATAACAGAGCTATAGATGAAAGCAAAATATAGTTATTATTTGACAAAGTTTCCCATGTGCTTTAAGCAGAAAATTTTCCTTCATGGGAGAGGAAACAAATACTTGATACATTCCAGAGACTATTGGAGTGATCTAAAGCCAATTCTATATCAAGAGAAAGTTTCTTAAAATTCAAACCCTGGAAGGATTGTCAAATTTATTTTTCCAGAAGTTCATATATCAAAGTGTATTAAGCACAAACATAGGCTAGTGAACTTCAGTTCCCATGATGAAAAGATGGCTTTAAAAGAACTTCCTGATTAATAAAACCATTTTAATAATTTATAGAACTCTTGCTTCCTGGGTACAAAAACAGGAAAGATATTTTCCCTTTTAACAGACTAGAAAAGGATTATCCAAAATAAGGTTTATTCTCTAACTTCATTTGTCCTTGGGTGTGGTCAGCAAATGACACTAATTGGATTTCTGCTGTCTGTCTCCCTGAGTCCATTGATAGAAGGTATTTACCATCTGGTTATACCCTCTGGTTAGGGAGGCAAAATGCAAATCATTTACTCTTTTTTTAAAAAAACTATATTTTTTTGATTTTTTACAGAGAGGAAGGGAGAGAGATAGTTAGAAACATCGATGAGAAACATCGATCAGCTGCCTCCTGCACATCTTCAACTGGGGATGTGCCCACAACCCAGGTACATGCCCTTGTCCGGAATCGAACCCAGGACCCTTCAGTCTGCAGGCCGACACTCTATCCACTGAGCCAAACCGGTTTCGGCCAAATCATTTACTCTTAAGTGTCCTTGGTTTAGGGAAGATGGGTTTTACTAGATGGCTCCAAATTGCTGTTTAACCATCTTCGTTTCCCTATTCCCCTTGTCCTGGCTTACTGTCCTGTGTCATTTGTACAATTTCCTTTTAACATTTCTCATCACAAAATCCCATAACTTCCACAAACTTTCTACCACTTTCTCAAATCTTTCTTCAGACACCTTATAACTCAGAAGTAACCGGCTTTACATTCCACTTTCTCTTTCCTTCAAACTGCATCTTCATGCCTCATGCCTTCCATTACACCAATGCCATATTTCTTTCCAATTAGAATTCTTAACCCTTAATAATCTTAATTTTTAGGTAGCATGTAAGTAACGTTCCTCAGATGAGCAATACATTACATTTGAAAAGCTGCTTCAAATAAAATACAAGACTTATTCATTAACAGATTCAAACCTATTCTCTAGATCAGTGGTTCTCAACCTTCTGGCCCTTTAAATACAGTTCCTCATGTTGTGACCCAACCATAAAATTATTTTCGTTGCTACTTCATAACTGTAATGTTGCTACTGTTATGAATCATAATGTAAATATCTGATATGCAGGATGGTCTTAGGCGACCCCTGTGAAAGGGTCGTTCGACTGCCAAAGGGGTCTCGACCCACAGGTTGAGAACCACTGCTCTAGATTCTCCATATGACGCAAATTCAGATTAACATTTCAGTATCCTGTTATTTCAAAATACCTAGATATTTAATAATTTTTACTATTTAATCCAGCAAACTCAAAAGTTTTAAGTTACCAAAGACTTTGGGGAACTCTTTAGGCATATATAATTACCCCCGATAAAGCTTTTTCATATACCCTTCATTTTATTTATTTATTTATTTATTTTATTATTATTTATATATTTTTTATTGATTTCAGCGAGGGGCAGTAGGTGTTGACTAGGACGGTGTGGGGGGCAGCTGGGGACAACCAGGATGGCAGGAGAGGCAGTTGGGGGTGACCAGGCCGGCAGGGGGGGCAGTAAGAGGCAAATATGCTGGCGGGGGGGCAGGGGAGGGAGTTAGGGGTGAACATGCTAGCGGGGGGGGGCAGTGAGGGTAAACCAAGCCAGCAGGGGGGGCAGTTGGGGGGCAATCAGGCAGGTAGCAGGTGAGCAGTTAGCACCCAGTGGTCCTGGATTGTGAGAGGGATGTCCGTCCGCTGGTTTACTGGCAGTCAGACATCCTCTGAGGGGGCCCGGATTGGAGAGGGTACAGGCTGGGCTAAGGGGACCACCCCCCCACCTCCCCGTGTATGAATTTTGTGCACCGGGCTTCTAGTAAGTTATAATAGTCTGCAAAAGGCCCTTTAATTGTTTCCTTGTCACCAAGGCACCATTTGCTTTTCACAACTGTTTAAACACTATTATATATTGTTGCCATCTGTGGTGCAACCAGCGGGGCCATCAGGGGCACTGCTCCCACCCGCATTGGCCTGGTGCCACTCGCTTGCCAGTATCGCCCTCCACCTTAATGGCCTTTCCCCATCTGTGCGGTAACAGGCGGGGTTTTGGGGGCATACACTCTCATCCGCCTTGGCCTAGTGCCATCTGCTCACCTACTGCACCATCCCATAGCAGTCCTGCTCTCATCAGGGCCCATCGGGGCCAGCACTGCCTCCACTGCCACCCTCTACACATCGCTGAAGCCCAACATGTTTCGTGCTGCCCCCTGGTGGTCAGCGCAAATCATAGCAAGCTGTGGAACTCTGTTTGATCAAACTCCCGGGGACAATTTCCATATTATCCTTTTATAATACAGGATACTATCTTTACTTTATTGTGTATTCTTGCTTCATTTGTCAACAATTCCGTGACCATAAAGGCATGGGTTTAATATCTAGGCTCTCTGTTCCATTCCACTGATTTATATGCTGTTTATATACCAGGACCATGCTGTTTTGATTACTATAGCCTTGTAGTACAGTTGGATATTAGGTAGTGTGATTCATCCACATTTGTTCTTATTTTTCATGATTGCTGTTGCTATTCAGAGTGTTTTGTGGTCTATATAAAAATTTTTATTATTCTAGTTATGTGAGATTTATCTTGGGTATCTTGATAGGAATTGCATTGAAGCTATACATTGCTTTGGGTAGTGTGGACATTTTAATTATATTAATTTTTCCTCTCCATAAATACCATATATGCTTCCATTTAAGTTTACATTCCAATTACAGTTAACGTTTAATTTCATTTTATATTAGTTTCTGGTGAAAATAATTTCAACATGAAAATATTGCAGATATCACTAAATGCCCTTGGACATACCAAGTCTTAAATTGTTCCTCAAGGTCCAGGCCCTGGTTATAGTGTCACAATTCTGCTGGAAAGACTCCTTTTTAGTGTGATCTTATCATTTCAATATACGTGTCTATGTGTCCTAAAAATCAGTATGAAGTAACCCTCAGGCTCATGAGTAGAGGACTTTTGTAGAGGGCTAAGTCGCCCTATCTTGCTCATGCCTGACCTCTAACTGAACATCCTATCTCTATTAAATGAGAGAGGCAAAAGAAGGTCAAACTGAGTTACTAAAAAATAATATAAAAAGAAATGATTATTCATACTCCTTCATAAGAATATTTTCATTCATTCAGGTGTATCTGACTATTTCTGATAATTTGGAGTACTTCAGGAAATATGGCCAAGTACATTTTGTTCTAATTTGAATTTCCACACACTGCCTGGCCTCTCCTGTTTGGTGATGAGAATAGAAGAAAAAGCTATCAGGCCTTTATTGTATTCAAAGTCATTAAAACTTTATGCAGACATTACCGTATGTTTCATGGACTGCTGCATCAAATGGTGGTTATAATAGAGATGCATCTTCTCACAAGGAATCGATGGGCTTAAAACAGAAGTATTTTAACTTATTAATATAGAAGTTGTTCAAAGTGTTCTTTACCCTGACAAATTGAGAACAAAGAAGAGTTGAAGTGATCACCATAAAATCATATCAATAAATTCCTCTCTTGAGGAAGTGAGTATGGCAAATTAATAATAGTCTCACAATCAAGTCATAGACTGAATATTGGGGATCATGTGTCCTATGTGAACTTCCTATGAATTATGTATGGGTCCCCAGGGTTGTCTATCTCATCCATTCTCCTATATGTATATGTGGGATGTTTTAGGACTCAGTGGCCTTTGAGGATGTTAATGTGGAGTTCACCATGGAGGAGTGGGCTTTCCTGGATCCCACCCAGAAGAAACTGTACACAGATGTGATGCTGGAAACCTTCTGGAACCTGGCATCAGCAGGTAGGTATCACAAATTATTTATTTTTATTTTTTTAAAATATATTTTATTGATTTTTTACAGAGAGGAAGGGAGAGAGATAGAGAGTCAGAAACATCGATGAGAGAGAAACATCGATCAGCTGCCTCCCGCACATCTCCCACTGGGGATGTGCCGGCAACCCAGGCACATGCCCTTGACCGGAATCGAACCTGGGACCCTTCAGTCCACAGGCCAACGCTCTATCCACTGAGCCAAACCGGTTTTGGCTCACAAATTATTTTTTAATATATATTTTTATTGATTTTAGGAAGGAGAGGGAGAGAATGGGAGAAAAATCAATGATGAGAGAAAATCACTGATTTGGTACCTCGTGCGCGCCTCACACTGGGGATCTAGCCTGCAAACCGGTCCTACTGGAAATTGACCTTTGACTTCCCGGTTTATACTGGTTCATAAGTTGACAGTCAACCACAGAGCAACCACTTGTTACTTAAGCAATTAGAAAACGAGTGTTGCTTGCTCATCAGTGCTGTTTCAAAACTGAAATATGGAAAGGGAGTATACTGGTAATTAAACCAGGAATGATCACAACTCATTGTGTACTTAAAATCTAACCATTTTTTATATTCTTTAATAGTTTATAATGCTTTTTCTAGCATGTATTTTAGAACAATGTGACGACCATGACAATGAAGATCAGTATAAGAAGCATGGGATGAATCTTAGGTGAGTTGCATTGACATGAGAAAGCATTAAGAGCATCTTTGTGTGTGTGTGTTTTTTAATATATTTTTTGTATATTTATTTTATTTATTTGTATGTTTAATTTTTTTAAAATTTACTTCAGAGAGGTAGGAAGAGGGAGAAAGAGAAAGAAACAATGATGAGAGAGAATTATTGATGGCTGCCTCCTGCATGCACCACATTTGTAATCATTCCTGGAACCTGGGATTGTGCCCTGACCAGAAATTGAACTATGACCACCTGGTTCAGAGGTTCAGTGAGCCTCGCTGGTGGTGCAAAAATATGCTATTATTGATTTTGATATGTTGTGTTGAGAGTGAGAGATAAAAAAATCAGGAGACTGCCTCCTGCATGCCCTGTACTGGGTTTAATAAGTCTGCAATCTGGCCATGTTCCCTTTCAGGGAATTGAGCCGGTTAGCCCCTGGTGTTTGGGTCTATCCTGAACCACTGACCCTTATGAACCAAGTCCAGAAAAGCAAAAACAGATAATCCAATTGTATCAGCCCAGTTTTAAATGTATTGATTTTTAGAATAATCTCATCAAAATGTTTTTTTTTTAAAATATGACCTCGATGTTTAGTGTATAAGATATAATTACACTTGGAAACAATATACAGAAGTACCATTAATGAATATAAGTGTTTTCATAATATCTATGATCCAGCCTATATCAGAAGTTTTAAGATATCCACTTTCAAAAATGGAATGTTCAGAAACCCCACCCTTTCTTAGAAAATGGTAAAAATGTCCTTGTCATGCTATTAATAAATATTAAATTGTTAACAGAGTATTAATAATATGCTTCTGATTTTTACAGCAATCATATTGTAGAGAGACTCTGTACAAGGAAGGATGGTAGTCAATGCAGAGAAAACTTCAGCCAGATTCCAAATCATAATGAAAAGGACACTCCTACTGAAATAAAACAACCTAAATCCAGGTTGTGTAGGCAAATCTTCATATGTTACTTATCCTTGAATAACCACCTGAGCTCTCACATTGGACCCAAACTGTACCTGTGTCAGGAATACAAAGAAATACCTCATAAGGAATGTGAGAAAGTTTTCAAGCCTCACCATCATATTCAGAGCCATGAAGGCAGCCCCAGTGGTAGAACTTTCCACTTTTCAACTTCCCTTAGAAATTATGAAAGAACGTATATCGCTGGGAAACCATATGAGTGTGAGCAATATGGGAAAGGCTTTAATCGTCTCACTTACTTTGAACTTCACAAAAATACTCATAGCGGAGAGAAACCTTATCAAAGTAAGCAACGTGGCAAAGCTTTCAGTTCTCCCAAGTACTCTGGAGAAAATGATAGCACACACACTGCAGAAAAGCCATATCAATGTAAGAAATCTGGAAAAGCTTTAAGTTCCACTTCTCTTAGAAATCAGGAAAGAACACACACCAGTGAGAAACCTTATGAATGTGGGAACGTCTTCCATCAGCTCAGCTCTCTTGGAGAACAGAATAGAAGTCATGTCGGAAAGAAGCCTCATGAATGTAAGGAATGTGGTAAAACATTCCGTCGTCGCTATTCCCTTATAATTCACCAAAGAATGCATACTGGGGAAAAACCCTATGAATGTAAACTTTGTGGTAAAGTTTTCTCTTATTCAACTTCCCTCCAAAATCATAAAAGAACTCATACCGGGGAAAAACCCTATGGTTGTAAGCAATGTGGGAAAGCCTTCAGTTGTACAAAGTCTTATCTAGAGCATCAACGGGCTCAATGTGGAGAAAAGCCCTATGAATGTAAGCAACTTGGGAAAGCTTTCGTATTTTCCACTTCTCTTCGAAATCATGAAAGAATGCATACTGAGAAGAAACCCTATAAATGTAAGCAATGTGAGAAAGGCTTCCAATATAGCAGCTGTCTTGGAAAACATAAACGATGTCATGACGGAAAGAAGTCTCATGAGTGTAAGGAATGTGGTAAAGCATTGCATCATTCCTATTCCCTTAGAAATCATCAAAGAACTCATTCTGAGAAAAAACCCTATGAATGTAAGCAATATGGGAAAGCCTTTAGTTCCAGCAGCTCTCTTGCAAATCATAAAATAAGTCATGATGAAAAGAAGCCTCATGAATGTAAGGAATGTGGCAAAACATTCCATCATCACTATTCCCTTAGAAATCATGAAAATACTCATACTGGAATGAAAACCTATGAATGTAAGGTTTGTGGTAAACTTTTCTCTTATTCAGCTGCTCTTCAATATCATAAAAGAATGCATACGGGTAAAAAACCCTGTCATCCCTCTTCCCTTAGAGATCATGAAAGAACTCATACTGGGGAAAAACCCTATGAATGTAAGCATTGTGGCAAAGCATTCTATTTTCTATCTGCCCTCCAACGTCATGAAATAACTCATACTCGGGAATATCGCTATGAATGTAAGCATTGTGGAAAAGGTTTCTATTATCAATCTTCTCTCCAAGATCATGAAAGATCTCATACTGGGGAAAAACCCTATAAATGTAAGGTTTGTGGTAAAGTTTTCTCTTATTCAACTTCCCTTCGATATCACGAAAGAATGCATACTGGGGAAAAACCCTATCAATGTAAGGAATGTGGGAAAGCCTTCATTTTCCCCAGCTCTCTTGGAAAGCATAAAAGAATTCATGATGGAAAGAAGCCTCTTGAATGTAAGGAATGTGGTAAAACTTTCTATTATCAATCTTACCTCCAACTTCATGAAAGTATTCATACTGGTGTAAAACGTTATGAATGTAAGCCATGTGGTAAAGCTTTCTATTATCCATCTTCCCTCCGAAATCATGAAATGACTCATAATAAGGAAAAACCCTATGCATGTAAGCAATGTGGGAAAGTCTTTAGTTACCTCAGTTCTCTTCGATGTCATAAAAGAATTCATGATGGAAGGAAGCCTCATGAATGTAAGGAATGTGGTAAAACATTCCATCATCCCTGTAACCTTAGAAATCATTTAAGAATTCATACTGGGGAAAAACCCTATGAATGTAAGCATTGTGGCAAAGGTTTCTATTATCTGTCTGCCCTCCAAAGTCATGGACGAATTCATACTGGCATAAAATGCTATGAATGTAAGCAGTGTGGTAAAGGTTTCTGTTATAAATCTTCTCTTCAACGTCATGATAGAACTCATACTGTTTTAAAATCCTATGAATGTAAGCTATGTGGTAAAGTTTTGTCTTCTTCAACTTCCATTCAACATCATGAAAGAATCCATACTGGGGAAAAGCCCTATCAATGTAAGGAATGTGGGAAATCCTTCATTTCTCCCTGCTCACTTGGAAGTCATAAAAGAAGTCATGAAGAAAAGAAGTCTCATGAATGTAAGGAATGTGGGAAAACCTTTCCTTTTCCCTCTTTACTTAGAAGACATGAAAGAATTCATACTGGATGAAAACCCTATGAATGTAAGCATTATGGTAAAAGTGTATCTTATCCAGCTTCCCTCCCATAAAATGATAGAACACATACTGGGAAAAAAAAACCATGTATGTCAGGCTTTTAGTCTTTCTGCATCTCTTAGAGATCATGAAAATATACATACTGGGGAGAAACTCTACGACTAAAAGCAATGTGAGGAAGCCCTTTCTGCCAAATATCTTAGTGGACATAAACTAATTCATCATGGAAAGATGTCTCATGATGTAAGGAATGTGGTAAAACTTTCTTTTATCCCTCTTTGCTTAGAAATCATGAAAAAAATCATACTTGGGAAAAACCCTATGAATGTAACCATTGTGGTAAAACTTTCTCTTATCCAAGTTCCCTCCAACATCATAAAAGAACTCATATTAAGGAAAAACTCTATGAATGTTATCCATGTGGAAAACCATTTATTCATCCCAGTTCCCTTCAAAATCACAAAAAACACTAATAATAGTGGAGAGAAATTATAATGAATGAAAGAACTCACACTGAAAATAAGCCCTATTGTGTAAAGATTGTAGAAAAGCCTCTGACCATCCTGGTTCTTTTTTTTTTTTTTTCATCCTCACCAGAGGATATTTTTTCATTGAGACAGTGGAAGTCAGAGAGTAAGACAGAGAGCAATAATGATATGAGAGAAACAAATCAGTTCGATGCCTCCTGCACATGCCCAGCCATTTAAGCACGCACAGTGCAGAAAAGCTCTATGAATGTAATGAATGTGGTCAAGTTTTCAGTTTCCAAGTCTCTTAGAAAGCATTGAAGGAAGAACACATACTAGGGAAAAACATTATCAATGAAAGCAATGTGGGAAAACCTTATGTTGTGTCACACATCTTTCAAGACATAAAAGAAGACATGATGGAAATAAGCCGCATGAAGAGGCCTGGCCCAGAGTGCAGGGTTGCAGGAGGAGTTACAGGGTGGGGTGGGTTCCCTAACACCTGGGCTTTGCCTTTTTATCCTGGTTCTTCACCAGGGTGGTTTGCTGGGTGATGGCTGTGTGGGGGCTTCCCAGCCCATGTGCAGTGTGCATCTGCTCTGGGAACTGAGCTCTGCACCTGGCCTCACAGTCCAGGCTTTGTGTGTGGCCTCGGTGCCCGGCTGCTGGGCTCCCCTCTATCCCACTGGCACGTGCAGGGCAAATCTCCCCTCCTTGCGGGTCCCCTACCTTGGCTCTGAAGAGCTGTGGGACCTGGAGCGGCTGCAACAGGCAGGCCAGCCACCAGCATCCCATGGGCAGACCTGTGGCTATCATTACCTGAAAACCGACTTTGGAGGAAAACAATGGATGTTTTGAATTTAGGCAGCATTGTAGGAATGCAAGAATTTTTGACTCTTCTTTCTTAGATGGATCCAAAGCAGATTACTAGAATACAGTGCCCTATTTTACAGTGTATGGAGGGAAAGCATAATTGCAAACAATATTTTCTTAAGTATATTGCAACATTTTTAGGGGAAACATTTGTACCTAGAAATGACTGAATTACCCTACTGGCACAAAATAAAATGAGTGAACTTTGAAAAATGTAAAGTGGAGAGACATTAAAGCACTAATTTGGATTGATAAATTAGTAGAAATATTACTATGATCTTATCACTGAATTTGTGGATATGAATCCTACCGTTCAGTAAAAAGCTAAAAATGATCTGCCATGTCATAGGCCCAGACACTTCAGTGACTTCAAAAAGGTGAAGGCTTTTTAGTGCAGGTTAATTGTTTGCAAGCAGAGAAACCAACTCTGGCTAATGTAAGGAAGGCAGGCATTTCTCTGAAATGGGCAGATGAACACAGGCCTCTGAAAGGACCCAGCAGGGGCAGCTCAACTCCTGTCAGGGTCTGCCCTGGAGTGGATCTGTGTTAACCAGGGTCTCCCTTGGCTTTACTGCCCACAGAGTTGAATTGCCCAGATCCCTTTAGTTCCATGACTACCCCTAGGCCAGAGGAGGGAGAAGAGTGTTGAAAGATGTTCCCATTGAGACTTAATGCAGAGGTAGATGGTGGGTCCCCCACAAAAATAGTTATTGTCACAAAAGAAGAGGGAAGAGATTTAGTGTAGGCAAAAACAAGAGATTTGTTCTGCAGGTAGAAATGTAGTTATTAATGGGGGAAATGAAATTACTTGTCTTCAGGAGGCATCTTCCCTTCCCCTTTCACTTGCAGATGTGAATTAGAGAATGATGGGTCCTATTTGTATGGACTTATAATTCCTGTGCGATCCATTGGACAGTGTCTTTGATATAGACATGTGTTTATTGAACATCAAATGAGAGACAGGGAACAGACACTGTATTGTAGGCTCAACACCTTCAATGTAGTCTTGCAAAATACAAGGCAGCATGAGAAATATTGCAACTAAATATTAAGGGTAGTATGTTTCATAGGAGTTTTCAAGTAGAAATAAAACACTTGTCTAGACAAGTTTTACGGAGAATAAGTTTTGTTTGGCTGGGATCTTGAAACATGAGTCGGATTCTGAAAAGATAAAAGAGTGTATTTGTGGGGCACTCCAGAAAGCTTATTTAGGCTAGAGGAGGAGCATGAAAGTGAAGTCATGGAAGATAAATAAACAGCCATTCCACTTCCCTCAGCGCAGTGCACTCTACTACCTTACTTAGTAGGTCTTTGGATGTGGAATTGTACTTTGGAAATGCAGTTCTACTAGCGCTGAGTTTCTTTTCAAGAGCCTTTTCTTCATTAGCTAATCTGGAAAGATCTGCTTCTTGCTCATGTTCTAAAAACCGCCTGAGGTGCTCAAATTCAGAGAATAATTCCAGCCTTTGGTTTTGCATCTTCTCTCTAAATTCTAAGAGGTTTTTGCTTTGAGTGCTTATTAATTTCTGAATGTCTGCCACCTGCTTCTTCAGGGGCTCAATGTAGCTGCTGAGCCTTTGCTTGTGATGACAGGCAGCCCCCTCCATGGGCCTCTCCTGGTGGTCAGGGGGCTGAGTGCACAGGTGACACAACAGCTCTAGGTCTTTCTCTCAGAAGAGGGTCAGGACCTTCTGCTTGTCCCACAAGCACCTCTTCCTGTCTCTTCTTGCCCCTGGTGGTCTAGAGGAGCTTGGTGATGACCACCATCCTTCCCAGCTGGGTGTTGCTCCTCACATGCCTCTCTTCACATGGGTGACAACACACAGGGCAAGGGAACCTGTCCTGTAGATCAGCCCAGGACTGCTGGATGCAGGAGTGATGGACATTGTGCTCACATTCAATAGTGACAGGCTTTTTCAGGTCATCCAGACAGATGGGATAATTGATTTCTGCTGGGAGTCCTGCCAGAGCTGCTTCAACTTCCAGTGGGCCCCGAATGAAGGACTGGACTGAGGTAGGTTTCTTCGGGAAGCTGGGCTCTGCAGTGAGAAGTGGATGCCCCGGAAATCTCAGTCCTCACTGTGCTGGTGGCCTATGAGTCCTGCAAGTCCCCTGACCTTTTAATTCCAGCTGCCAAGAGAAGCCCTTCCCCCAACCTGCAGCCAGTCAGAGCTCAGCTGGACAACTGCTCCTCCAGATTTGGAAGCTCAAAGAAAATGAAGCCAGCTAAGCAGCTTCTTGGTTAGAAGAACAGTTCCTACTTGAAATCATTAGTTGTTGTGTGTGAGAAAATATTTCTTCCTTCAATCCCTGAGTTTATTTCAAGTGATTCCAGTCAGATTTCTCTCTCCTAACCCCAATCTTCCATTCTCATGATTTTATCATTAAGCCCATCTACTTCCACCCAAGGATTAGGGTTCTCTCCAGCAATTCTTCCATTGATTATTCAGGAAGTTTTTCTGTATATTAGTTGCTCTTCAAGTTTGTTCCGGGACCATGTCTATGCAATATCAACTTACTAGTACTCTGCCGCCATTTTTAATCTTACCAATTTGTATTTCTTAATCCCTTCACCATTTCATCCAGCCCCGAAACCTTCTCTCCTCTGGCAACCATCAGTTTGATCTCTATGAGTCTTTCTATTTTGTTTGTTCATTGATTTTTTTCTTTAGATTTCACATATAATTGGAATCATATGGTAATTATCTTTCTGTCTGACTTATTTCACTGAGTTTAACCTCTAAGTCCATTCATGCTGTTGCAAAAGGTAAGGTTTCATTTTTTATTACGGCCAAGTAATATTCCATTGTATATATGTACCACTTCTTCTTTATCCACTTGTCTATTTTTTTAATACATTTTATTGATTTTTTACAGAGGGGAAGGGAGAAGGATAGAGAATCAGAAACATTGATGAGAGAGAAACATCAATTCAGCTGCCTCCTGCACACTCCCCACTGGGGATGTGCCCGCAACCAAGGTATATGCCCTTGACGGGAATCAAACCTGGGACCCTTCAGTTCGCAGGCCAATGCTCCATCCACCAAGCCAAACCAGTTAGAGTTCCACTTGTCTATTGATAGGCACTTGGGTTGCTTCCACATATCTGCTATTGTAAATAATGCTGCAATGAACATACATTCATTTAAATTAGTGTTTTGTGTTTTATCAGATATATACCCAGAAGTGGAATTACTGGGTCAAACAGGCATTTCCATTTTTAATTTTTTGAGGACCCTCCATACTGTTTTTCCATAGTAGCTACACCAATCTTCATTCTCACCAATAGTTCATGAAGGTTCCCTTTTCTCCCATCCTCGCCAGCACTTGTTGTTTGTTGATTTATTGATGATAGCCATTCTGACAGGTGTGAGTTGATAGCTCATTTTGTTTTTTCCTTGTAATCCTCAACCGAGGATTTATTGGAGGGGGGCAGGGGGGAGAGAAATTAGTTGCCTCCTGTACCATCAACTGGGGATCCAACCTACAACCAGGGTATGTGTCCTGACCAGGATTGAACCTGTACCCTTTGCGGAATGATGGTAAAACAAATGGAAACACTTTTAGTTTTGTTTTTTAAAAAATATATTTCATTGATTTTTTTACAGAGAGGAAGGGAGAGGGATAGTTAGAAACATTGATGAGAGAGAAAC